TCACCATTAAATCTTGGTGCGATTCGAACCTCCAGAGTCTCAACATTTCTAAAACTAAAGCTTTGTCGTATAAAAACTCGCTGCAGCCTTTTGTACTTAACAACACCACCATTAACGTCGTAAAATCTATAAAATTCTTAGGGCTTGTAGACAATTCTCTGAAATGGGACATGCATATCGACGCTTTGTCGAAAAAAATTAGCTCTGCCTATTTTGCATTAAAATCCGTTTCTAAGGAGCTTAACTTATCGTGGCTAGAACTGTTTATTATGCAGTTTTTGAGTCGCACCTCAGATATGCCCTTCCATTCTGGGGTACGTGTTGTGCGACTCAATTTGACCGCATTTTCAAGCTCCAGAAGAGAGCTGTTCGATATTCACTGGTACTAAACAGCAGAACTCATTGCCAGGACTTTTATAAAAAATTAAAAATATTAACTCTTCCTTCCTTATTTATATTTGTATCCGTTTGCCTAATACGTAAGCAACTTCTCGAGAAAGGCCGTCTTACACTTATCCACTCAGGAACGCGGGGCAAGATCTTTATCTATCTACCCCACGCTTAGAGTTAGTTAAAAGTTCAATATTATACAACTCGAAAAAAAATGCACAATTACCTGCCATTTGAAATCAAATCCATAACATAATTTTCATCATTTCGCAAAGTATTGAAATCTTATTCACTAGAGAAGGCTTTCTACACCGTAAATGACTTATATTTTGATAATCGAATTTGATGTTGTAAACACTGGTCTAATGTTTGCTATTACTCTATTTACTATAAACATACTAAATATTTTAGAATTTTATTTTTATTTTTTTTTATTCTTTGAAATTGTAAATATTTATAAATATTTACAATCGTCGTTATAAATATTTACAGGCGTCGCGTCGCGCGTCATGTTGCGTTGTGACAATTTTAAATTTTAATAAAATTCCCGAAAAAATGTTAACGCGTAAAGGAGAGTGTAATTAGGGCTTTGTTGGGTGTAATAGCCATTCAATAACTTAACCTTTCCAGGATATTCAACTCTCCCAAAACAACATTTTATAGCTTCATAGTTTCTCAAACCGATTTGATCAAAAGCTAAAATGGATTCAAGCAATTCGAGTGAAGAAACAAGTGAGTAAACAAAATGCGTTACATAATCAAAAAATTAAATAGACATACTATGAGAGGATAAAATATAATTTGCAATATTAATGGTATACTTTTTTATCAACTAGTGATTAAATGTTCTATGAACATCCATCTAAAACTATAATTATGTACCTGGAAAAATTTTTGGTATAGACGAAATAGCCCCAATTATGCTACACTAGCAAAACCGGTGATTAAAATTATGCTCGCTATCGTAGTGGAACTCATCTAAAAAGTTTTTAACTGTAATAATAAATTATAATACAAATTAGACCTTCTGAACATATCAAAATATTTACTTTTTTATTTTTATTTAAAGAATTTTTACAAATTATACTTCCTAACACTTTTAGAATAACTAAATAATATAATAATTTCGTATACTCGCCATTTAAACCCCTGTATTTGTATATACTAGTTGTTTATGATATTCTCCGATGGTGGCAGCACTGGCGGAACATGCACCAAGCCTATTATAGAGTATAATAGATACACTTTTATCTATATCTATATTATACGAAAAAAACAGAAATTACATATTATTTTGAATGAATGTAAAATTAAAAACTTTGTTTCTAGTATTCGAAAATGTATGTTAGTGAAAATTTTCCATAATAAAGCGGTATTCGTAATATTAAAATTTCAAAATTAAATTCATTGAAATTTACAGCCGGCGATGTCAAAATTGCCAATAACAGCAGGCGTAAGCAAATATGAAATTCTATTATTTATTAATTTATTTAAACCGGTGCTTTAGATTAATTGTGGAATATTAAACAATTTTATTAATGCAAATATATGCGAGATTATCGTGCATAAATTCATAGCTGAAACAGGACATCCATTTAGATAAATTTGTTGTTAGCGAATATGCTTAACTTATCAGCGTATGTCGGTTCTTACTAAATAATAATACTAATATCAGCTTTTCATTTAAGCCTAAAGCAAACACTTATTTTAATTCATTTTATAATAAACTAGCGTGTACCCGCGATTTCGTTCGCGTCGAATTAATCATTTGTAATGGTGATGATAAAGCAAAGCCAGAATTTCCATTCACATACAAACTGGATAAAATTTTCTCACATTTATGTCAGCATGAGAAAAAACACTATGGCGATATTATTATATAATTTGGTAATATTTGAGGGTAGTTTCATCTCGTTGGAATTAGACTTTCGAAAAATCCGTTTGCCAAAAATAAGCTTTTTACGTCAAGCAGTTTAAGCAGAATCGTGGTTAAGAAATTGCCCAAATTTTTGGAACACCCTGTATGATTTTTTAAAAAATTTCAAAATATGTAAAAACCCCAAATAAATTATGCTTGTCCAAACGTTTTCCCGAAAGACTAACCGTTTTTTAAATAACAAATATTGTAATATTTGAGGGGCGTCTTCACCCTCTTAGAATTTGAGATTCGAGAATACCCCTCCTTATCGAACCTCTACACCCCACAGTCAATCCGTTTGCCAAAAATCAGCTTTAAACGTCAAGCAGTTTAAGCAGAATCCTGATTAGTCAATGATCATATTTTATGAAACACCCTGTATAAATTTCAAAAAAAATCTTAAAATATGTCAAACAACAAAATAAAATATACATGTTCAAGAGTTTTTCCGAAAAACTCACTGGTTTTTAAATAAAAAATATTCTAATATATGAGGGGTGGGTTCACCCCCTTAGAATTCGAGTTTCGAAAAATCCCTTCTTATTGAACCTTTACACCCTAAAGTCATTCCGTTTTCCAAAAATCAGCTTTTTACTGAGTGCTTTAAGCAGGATCGTGATTAATCAACGACCAGATTTTTCAAAACATCCTGTAAACATTTTTAAAAAATCTTAAAATATGTAAAAAAACAAAAAAAAATATACGTGTTTAAGCGTTTTTTCGGAAACTTGACCGTTTTTTAAATAAAAAATATTTTAATATTTGACTGGTGGATTCACCCCCTTGGAACTGGAATTTCGAAAAAATTCCTTATCGAACCTCTACACCCTAGAATCAATCTCTATGCCAAAATTGAGCTTCTTACATTGAGTGATTTGAGCAGGATCGTGATTAATCAGTGAGTCAGTCACTTAAGGATTTTACATATTAGTATAGATTTCGGTATAGATTAACAAAAGTTACAGTTAGGCAAGCGTTAGATATATTTAAAATCTCGGAGTAAAATAAACATCGATTGGGGGGCTTCATCTCGCATTGATGATTTTTTACGCTTGGTCAGTACCAACATTTATACAGTACATACGTTTATACAACGTTTATACAGTACTACGTTCTGTAAATACAGAGCATCCTTAAAGGGAAACAAAATTCTCTGTAGCGAGGAATTCATAGGCTTTAAAAATCATTTAGATAACATTAACACAAAAATTTAAAAAATTTCCAGTTTTATTTTTTCAATGTTTTTCCACGTAAATGAAATATAATCCTTAGTGTTTGAGAATAATTTTCTTGGTAAATTTAAAAAAAAATAAGGAATATAAAAAGAGTGATAAGTGCCTTATTTGTGTATTAGTTCACACATGCATTGACAGAATTCCAAATTTTTGCCTAAAATTGCGTTGTTATCGTGCTTCATCTTCCACGTATACTGGGCACTTGAAAGTAACAGTTTCGAAACATGTGTGTGCAATTGGTCGCATGTATAAAACGCAAATGTGACAAAATATTGCTCACTGAGTAAACATTTCCCAAAATATTTTAATTATGTTTTGAAAATTTTCGGAAAACGTTAAATAATGCTGAAATAAAACAACTAAATTTAATATATCTTCAAAAAAAATAAATTTAGTAAATGGCAACTATTTTTGCTCTGAAAATAGTTGATGCTCCTAGTTAAAAAGGCGAAACAAAGATTTCTTTTAGATAACTGAAAATTAGTATACTGGGATAACATTAAAAAAAATTCAAATTAAATTTTTCAACATTCGGTTAATAAACCCAGTTTTTAGCCATTTATTTCTTTAAATGCAAAAATTTCACAAATATCCGAGAGCAAAAAGTTAAATTTTATGATGTTATATTTAATATAATTCAAAGCAAAATCTGACACAAAATCAAAATGACGAAAAGTCCCATATAATACAAACTTGCAGGTCCTACATTGTAGGTCCAATTATCTAGAACGCACTGTATACACATTTAAATTCAGACATTTAGATGTAATAGAACAATTTTATTTTCGTTCATAACTTATTTTCTTATGATTCTCATTTCCTTGGTATATTTTTTCTGATCAATTTACTAAAACAAGTCAAATATTTTGTTTAGTAAATTTATAAGAAAATTATAAAAAGATAAATTTATCAAGAATAAAAGTTAAACTATTGAACCATTATCTTTATTAACACTATTGAACACTTGTATTTAAAAAGGGATTAAAATCCAATAATATTTTTTTAATCGTCTCAAAAGTATTATTTTTGCAACATGACAATATTACAAAGTAATTTTAATGCCTAAGCATAAAAATAAAGCACTTTTACGCCTAAGCACATAATTACAAAAATATATTATTAAACTGACATAAAGTGTCAATTTCAACGAGTATAACCATAGTTTCTCGATATACCTTTATCTACAGGGTATTACTTTAAGGGTAAATCTTTTTATAATATTTGCAACGTTTGAAATGGTTTAAATTTGTGGCGTTTGAAAAAAAATGGCATGTTCTATTCGGAATAAAAATAAATATTTGTGCCCCGTTTGTAATGGTGTACAGCCTCGCTACAGAAAGTATCATTTTACACTCCAATAAAACAATGTGCTATTTTTTCCTTTCATAACTTATTTTCTTACGATAGCTATTTCTTTGGTGTACTTTTTCTGATCAAATTACTTTATTTTTTATCAGGTTGCTCGAGGCGTAACTGTCGCATCCAGTCACCGAATTATCCAGGGATTTATCCTAGGAACGTTTCCTGTCACTACAGAGTAAGAGAAAAAAACGTGCCCTTAGGGAAGCACGCTCTGATCGCCATTCGACAAGCGAGCTACCGCTACAAAGAACACATCCCCAAATTCGATAACAGCGACAAAATGTTGAGGTAAGACTTAAGTTAATTAGATGTTATAGAATGATAGAAATATAGGTTAACTTATACGGGAGAGGTCCAAAATGATTGAAATAGTTGGGAAAACTATATTATAGGATTTAAGGAGTCATTCGTAGAGATGGAAAAACCAATTGTCAATTAAAAAATGTACCAAGCGGTCAACTAAGAATGGACGCCAGCTGTATCTCAAAAAGTACTTATCGTATAACTTTGGGAAGACATTTTTTATAAGTAAATTGACCAAGAGAAATCGCTCCCAAGTAGCATTTTTGGACACATTTTAGGTAATGTTTCGAATAATCATGTTTTTGTTTCTTGGCACAAAATGGAAACGATATACCACAAATAGGAAACATTTTCGAAATCTATATATTTTATATGGCTTTGTTACATGTGCTTACAATGTGATGGCAGAAGCCGTTTTCTGAAATGTTTTGATGCGGAATCAAAACTTTTACAGGAAATGTTTCGAAACATTTTCTGCAATTTGTGTCCAAAATGTTCCCGTTTTCAACAGCCACTGTTTCTAAATGCGAAGAAGCAAAACACCAAACTAAAATAGTCTGTCTTGTGTGGACTTCAAAATAAAAACAACCATCCACAATGTCGACCTCAGCAATATTTTTTTTTGTCTTAAAATCTTTGTTTTTAAGTTTTCTCGCAAAATATCTGGCAAAAGCAAATTCATCGGTGTTCCTCAGTTTAATTATTAAATTAAATGAATGTACTTTCATATTTTTAATGCCCCATCATTATCATTATTTGTTGCTATAAAATATTTTTGTGTTTTAAATATAATTTTTTATTTTTTTTTATTTCTATATCATAGTTCTAAAAATAAAAATATATAAATTAATGTAAGTAGAACGCGTTCTTATGAGTTTAAAAGCTCAAGAGCCAATAAAACCATCTATTTTTGGTTAAAAACGCTATCACTAGCCAACATGGCGGAATTTAATTCATTATTTTATAAAATTGGCATGGAGTCGGACACAAATCATCTGCATTATATCATAGTTGTGTCTAAAAAGAGAAAAACTCATGTTTCGAAAATAAGTCGACAATAAATGAAAATCTTGTTTTCAAAATGTTTTCATTTAGCGCTATCTGTGTAGAAATTTCGAACTAGTCACCTGTCAACAACGCCAATCAAAACTTAAATGGTCATAATAATTAAAACATTTTTATTTACTTATTATAATAGAACTAAAACATAATAGCTATTTATGTAACTAGTACCTAAAATGATGTTTTTTAGGACGAATCATTACTGTTTGCGGACGAGGCGTTAGCCGAGTCCGAAATAGTAGATGAGTCCTAAAAAACATAATTTAGGTACGTGTTACATACACTATTTTTTGTCATACGCTTTTTACAGTTTTTTAGAACGCATATTTGCAAATTTTCCATATTTGAAATTATAATGTTTGAAAAAGTTGGCTTATAAATTCATATCTTAGTAACGAGTTTGTTTATTTCATCGCATTTTGACATGTCATTCGAAATTTGTCACAAAATCACACAAATTCATCAACAATTTAGACATTTTAGTCCATAAAGGTTGCCATGACGACCTTTACGGCCTAGGCCGAAAAAGAAACATTTTACGGACTGAAATGAGTCCGTAAAATAGCTGTTTTTGGGAGCGTATGACAAAAAAATTATTTATTCCATTGTGGAAAAAGAGAAAAAAACGTATGCTAGTAACATTTTCCTTCGGTTTCCTGTTGGGTTGCCCATACCCAACAGGAAACCGAATTGTGTGACTGTTATTAAATTTATTCCTAAAACAAATCATCTCTGTAATGCGTATAATAAATAATTACAAAATCCAATAAGAAAAATATCATCTGTATTTGTACTCACCATATTATGTCCTTCCTTTTGCTTTTTTAATTATAGTACTATAAAAACTTGAAGAATGCTTAAATGCAAAAATTGCAGAACAAAATCCAAACAACAAAGTAACATTATGTTCTCATGTTTGCCACAGAATATCGAAAGTTCGAAAAACGTCCGATAGGGGGAGCATCTTTGGTGACCGATCAAAAAACAGGATTTCTTCCAAAAATATACAGGTAAAGAGGTATTTCAAATATTCCTATTGTAATCAATGGGATATTTGTATTTTTTTTGATACAGGGTATTTTGATGGTGGAGAAAGGTTTCTTTTATTAAAATAAGGTTAACTTTGATTTGGGTTAGCCGATTTAAACAAACTAGAGCTCGTTTAAAAGAGCTCTTCTTTCTTAATAATTTTCAGTATAAATTTTGTTTCGATACATTTTTTCGCTAAGGGGCGCTGTTTGACATCATAACATATATTGCGTTTTAGCTTAAAAAAATTAAATAGCAGGTTATGTTTCTTTTTGTACAGTCAAATAGAGCACAACATTTCCAAAAGTGGGGAATTTTCTAGCGGGAGATATTAAGGAAGCAAATCATTGTCGTCCATATATTTTTTACTAATTTCTGCTTAATTTTATGTAGGTAGTTGCCAAATTAAAATATCTGAAAGTCGGAATATCAATGATTTTATTTAAATTTTTAGGAATTTTGTGCCGCCATATTGCTTTTAACAGAATACGCCAGAATTTCGTATAGCCGAAAACTAGGGTTTATTTGCATGCTGATGTCATTTAGTTATTAATCCAAGTTCGTCGTTCATTTCAGTTGTTTTTGTGTTTTACCTGTTGTATGTGTTATTTATTATTATATTATTAAATTTATGTTATTCGGGTCACTTTTCATATAGCAACGAACGTGCGAATCTTAAAAATATGCACTACAGGTCCAAATCTACACTTGATGCAAGTAGTTCAGCACCAAGACCGTTAATATTTGGGTCTAGGAGAGTGAATGATTGGACTTTTCTATTATTCATCTAAATGGAATGAACTATCCACTATTTCTAAGAAAGGAATTGCCGATTTTGTTAGAGGACCAATTATGATGAAATTGCATTTGTAGCTATTTCAGCATGATGATTCAGTTGGTACAGTTGTGCAGCTTATTGGTGTATGATATGGTGTGGAACTTCTTGGATACTTTACTTACTTTAGTAGATAGAGACCCTGGAGCGGTATATTTCCACGGCCAGCTAGGTCACCATTTTTTATTTATAGAGCCGGAACAAAAACGAACATAGATAAATATCAATTAAATGTCATTAAAATGAAACTAAAATATACATTTTGATATTTTGATCTAAGCAGTTTACCTTTTTTTGTTTCCTAGCCTAGTACTATAATTTTTAGACCTTATAGTCCTAGGCAGCAGCCTAACATGATTTCTCTTAATATCTCCCCTTAGAGAGAAGATAGAAAGTTGCGGTTTGCGCTGATATTTTCAAAATTTTCTGCTTTACTTAAGAAAGAAATGCTGTTTTAAATGAGCCCTAGTTTGTTTAAATCGGCTAACCCAAACCAGAGTTACCCTTATTTTAATAAAAGCATGTTAAACCACCACTATATTTTATTATATACACCACAATACGTTTAAGAAAACACAAATTTTTCATTAACTACATTAGCAATATTTAAAATACCTCTTCACCTGCATATTTTTGAGAAAAATTTTGTTTTCTGATTGGCCATCACAGTGCGCCCGGACATTTTTCGAACTTGAAAATAATTTACAGCGATTTTTCTTGCCCGATTTACTTATTACAGTTTTTTTCTCAAAATTTTACGATAAGTAGTTTCTGAAATACAGTCGGCGTCCATTCTTAGTTGGCCACCCGGTATGTCAATTCATTTTAAATTTACTTACGTAAGTTTTGATTTTGGCATTTTTGTAAAATCGACTTCTAATATAAAAAATTACTATATTTTTATAAAACTACAATGTTCAACATACAAAAGGAGTTGCGTCTACCATAATGCATGAGTTAAGTAATTCGAATAAAAATATACCGTATGATCGAATAAAAATGGCGTAAGCGATGGCTATGAAATGAATATCGCTGTCATTTTATATGGAAAATATTATTGATCGTCATTTTGGACGCCGTTTTTTTTTCGATCATACGGTTTTAATATATAAACATCTTTCCTAAGAGAGGTGTGTTATTGCTAAAAATAAACATAGACATAGACATGACAAGATATACATGACGTTCAAATGCATCTACAAAGTAAACTAATAGCTTTAGGTCTACATCTGGTTGACTGACACACTGAATCCTTGCTTAATTGATGTTTAGTATTAGCTCGGTAATATAATACTAATTGTTTTAGCAACAGTCAAGCAGTCCTACTGTATAATTAATTTACTACACACATATTGTATCAATTTAGAAAAGCTTAATTATAATCTATGGCATAAGCATTAAGGTACAACGATATGCAATTAATATATTATATGGGGATATAATACCAATATTGACTGCATAATAGTATTATGTTCTACAAGATAATATATGAATTTTTTATAACATATAGTACAACTGCGTTGTCTCATTAATAGTTATGAAGAATTATTATTGATAATATTAATGACAATATAAACAGTTCTAAAGACAATTTATTTAGATCTAGTAATTTGTCTATTAATTACTCTTGTTATAATATGGTACATATTGTATAGATTTTCAAAAAATGTTGAATTCACTCTTAAAACTAAACTATATAGCAACTACGTTTGTCAATAACAAAATGTGTATTACAAAAATTATACTTATAAAATTATACTGCAATTTTGAGCAGCAAGAATATATTTGTCGACATATTTTTCGAAGCAGAAACAAAGTTAACTAAAATATACTACTTCCTAGTTAAGTTGTAAGGTATTAACTGGAAAGTAGTGATGGGATAACTCAAGCGAAAATTCGCTCGAGTACTCGATTATTGAAATTAATGGGTTTTTCTCATCACTACTTGAAAGGTTGAAATTTTAGTGTTTATTTATTGACTCCTGTATACTTAGTAAAGTGATTTCATCTTCAAGAATAACGCTAACGCTAACAAAGCAACACAAAATTTGAAAATAAC